TAAACTTTGAACTTTCTAGCTTCTTAAGTCAAGTTGCTAACGAGAAGTCTAATGCCAGCTGATTCTTGTGCCTTTTTTCTCTTCTTTGAAACTTTTGGACACTTCACTTAAGCTCGGAGTTCTGGTATTTTACAATGCTAAACCTTAGTGTGAGATTATTTCATTCCTTGTGCTGGGCAATTAGTTTACCCTTTCAACCTGAAGAATCTTTGGGACTTTGTATTATTTCTTCTCTTTATTTTGTCTTTCCTGTTTATTTGAACCACCTACTAGTCAGATGTTGGCCCTCCTGGACTGACTGCTTATTCCTCTTGTCTCTTTTCTTACCTTTTACATTTCTTATTTTATTCCATTTCCTGTGAATGTCTTTATCTTTCAATCCTTCTATTATTAATGCAACATTTCCTTGAATCTTTCCAAGAATACATAATTTGTAATCTTAAGCATCTCTGATATTATTCCAAATTCAGAAGTCACAACCCTCACTTTTTGATTAGTCTGTATTGAGTTTAGAGAACACTTTTTTAGTTAAAAGGGAGATTTATACATGTTTGGCAGAGGAGTTAAAAACTGTCATTCTCTAATTGAGACCTTCCTCTGGTTGTATTCAGAAAAATGAACAGAACTAGGGTGATACAAAGGAGTGCCTGGAATGAAAGTGTGGGGCTGTCTTAAGAATTTTATATTGGAAATGTATTCTTCTCTTACATGATATTGTAATTCCTCAGTTAGCCCCTTTGAAAGACTGTATTTTGAAAACTTCAAGGCACTATCAAATATATGATGTTAAATTTCAGCTATTTGGTCTAGCGGTGTGAACACTGTACTTGCGGTCCAGAGACCTAGGTTCTAGACTGGAATATGTATTTAGTCAGGATTCTTTTGGGAGGAAGTGACAGAAACACAATTCTAAGTAGCTTAAACGTCAGTGGGGTTTAACATGCTATGAAGGTAGCCACAGAGCTGGAGGGAGAGTGGTGGGAAGTGAGGTACCATTAGGACTCTGGGGGTCCACCTTGCATCTTGCCTCTCTTGGGGTCAGTGTCATGCCAGGCTGTTCCATGTGGCTAGGGACACAGCTTATGACAGCTCTGGGCTCATGATTCAAGAGGAAAGAGTAAACAGAAGACTACCGCTCCAAGTTTTGGCATGAAAAGTTCCAGGTAGACCTAGACTGGCTCTAGTTCAGTCACTTGCTCACCTTGGACCAGTTGTGATGTCCTGGAAGGTGAGACTAGCCTCCAGGGCTAGGATATATAGCCCACCTCTGGGATGGGATGGAAGAGGATAAGACCTTCAGGATGGGACCCACCGTAGCCATACTGTTGGAGTAAGGGAGGAGCAGTTTTCCCAGGAGGGGAAGGGTACCAGATGTATCTCGGCTCAGAGGTCCACAAATCTCTGACACTAACTAGATCCATGACTCTTAGACCTCCCCGGACCTCAGCTTTTCTATCTGTAGAGTGAGACGTGCAGGTTAAGATGTGAGGATTCTTTCTCAGCTCAAATATGTTATGATTTTGATGAAAATCACATTCTTTGCCTTATTCTTTTTTAACTTGCATGAGAACCAAATATCCCTGTTAACAACCGGAAAATCGTGATTCCACATACTAAATAGGAGAAGGAAACAGATCTATTTAAAGAACATCCTGCCTCTGAGGATTTTTAAGAAGGTAGAGTATATTCCTGTAGTTATTGTTTCACTCTTGGAACAGAGATATAAATATCTATCCACACTTTTCCCACAGTGCATTTTACCCTCTAAGGAGGGCTTAGATTGTGGCAGCAGGTCCCTGGGGGCTGAGTGCTTGGCATGGCATTCTCTTGGTGCCAGCTGGTCAGGGAAGGTAGCCTTTGGTGCCATTTGGCTCCCAGACTTATTTCTACCAATATGAGTTGGATCAAGCGGTCCTCACATGCAGCTGCAGCTGGCTCTCCACATACTGAAGAGACCAGCTGACCGACTCCAGCAACCTGTTGTCACATCTTATTGTCATTCTTATGTATAAATGTAAGGAAGTGCATGCAATTAAAATCTAGCCTGCGATTGTATTCAGTAGCCATTATTTTTTTTTATTTTCCCCGATTGCACTTTTAGAAAGCCATTTTTCCAGCACAATTGTCAAGGTCTCATTTCTTTCTTCTCCCCTTTTCCTTATTCTTTCTCTCCTCTAGTTATAGTCTCATTTTCTCTCTCTCTCTCCTCCCCTCCCCCAGTGCTAGCCATTGATATTAAATCAGACTAGCATTTATTTATTGTTTACATCAAGGGTTTTGAGCCAAGCCAAAAAAGAGGGTTGAATGGGGCAGTCTGAGTAACTGACATGTTGAGTAAGAAAAGACTGCAGCATAGAAATGAAATGGAAATGCCACATTTTGCTTCCCACTATGCCTTTAGAACCACTTCAGGGAGTATGGCCTGCCCCTTGCCCCTGGACCAGCACAAGGACAGGCTGTATTTAGGATTTCTTCCCATGCATGCTGCTCCCTGCTCTCTGCAGAGGGAGGCGGACCTGTACGGATGACATCAATATGCTCCACACCCTCTGGACTCTGGTTGGATATGGGCCATGGGGAGTTCCCGCAGGAAACTGGAGGTAGAGAAGAAAGTGAAGTCAGAGAATTTAATCTCCTGCCTCATGCCCTGCGAGGTCAACCAGCTGGCTGTGACCCTTGATGGAAAGGTGATCCTCTCAAGGTGGATCTCTTACTTTCAGGCTTCTAGTAAGTAAACTCTCCCCGCAACCCTGTGAATTGAGGGAGGGGTGGTGTGGGTTCCAATGCTTCCAATCTGGATTCCTGCACGATCCCCCATGGTTCTCTCTCACATGCTGCCTACATCTTTGCAAAGAAACCCTCCCATGTAACTGGAATTTGAGCGTGCCCTCTGTGTTCTGCCATGGCCCTCTTAGGACGTTGATAATTCTGCAGGTATGTTAGTTGCAAACAGAATCTCAATGAAGAAATGATAGCATCTAGTCCAAACTATTAATCAACATTGCAATCTTTATTCCAGGATAAGAGTGGGGGTTGTATCAATGTTGTGCCAGAGATACTGTGCTTAAAAGCAACAGTGCAGGAAGGTCAGGCTTACTTAGCTCCATGAAAGCAGGAGAGATGGAAATTCTATGGATCAAAAATAAAAAAACCAAAAACCTAAAATATTTGAAGCATTTTCTTCCAGTTGGAAGCTAATTATAGAACATGGTATGCTTATGGGTAACAATTTATTTTCATGTGTATTATATCACTTGATCTTCATTAACAATCCAGCACTGTACTGACCCATTTACTCCATGAAGAATCAGACTCAGGGAAGGAAATAGTGTTTCCACAGTTTCCTACACGCTTACTACTTTGTGGAGGGAGGGGTAGGCCAACCCAGGGCTTCTAGAAGACTCCAAAGCTTTTGCTTTTTGCTAGTGGCAAAAAGACGCCATTAGCAAAAATTGTAAGTAACTTTTATGTAAATAGTTTACCTAACACAGCAAAGTGGGCAGTGACTTGGGGAACACCCAGACCATAGCAGGAACAGATGTAAGTCCTTGGGGGTAGCTTTCCCATATCCGCTGCCAGGTTGTCAGCGGCATGTCCAGTCTGTTCTCCAATAGCTTTCTCTCCTGACCTGTGGTATTTTAAAGTCAGAGGCTGGCTTTCTGTGAGTGTTGAGGAAGTCTATTCTTACCACCCTGACACTTATCCCTTGCAAGGGCGAATGGCTCCTTGATCTGAACAGCAGAGGCACTTCCAGAAGCACTGCCGCTGCCCATACCAGCTTCTTCAACTTTTCTCTTCCAGTGCTAGCTTGAGTGATCTGGGGCCGGCCCCTTTCTAGGTGTAAACCAAAATAAAATCCACCTCCCCCATTCCTGCCAACTGGACAGACCCTGTTGGCCAAGGGGACCCCAGAAAAACCTTAAAACTGAGTTCCCGGTCATGAAGGGAAGGGAGGTCAAACATGCCCGGTTATGTCCCCTTCCTTTTGGAGCTTAGATACATGGATTGACCAGCATTAATGATAAAACACAGAGCATAAGACTGACAAAACAGACCCTTCTGACAATAAGACACTAAATTATTAACAGGACCTAAGGCCATGCAAGGCAAAGGTTAAGTCACACCTAAAGACCATCAATTTGCTTCACAGATCACTGAATTGGTATATTGTGGTTTGCTCTCTGATTAGCAGAATTCCTTATCTGAAAACATTCTAAGCCTTTAGACAAATCTTTATTTCTTGAACCAATTACAAATCAAAGAATCTTCAAATCCACCTAACCTGTAAGACCCCCTCCTCCTTTTCAAGATGTACTGCTTTTTCTGGCCAAACCAACTACACCATCCACGTACTGATGTATGATTTTACCTACAATTTCTATCTCCCTAAAATGTATAAAACCAAACTGTAACCCCACCACTTCGGGAGCACTTACTCAAGGCTTCTTGGGTGTGGCTCAGCAGGCTGCAGTCACACTTATTAGGTTCAGAATAAACCTCTTTATTTTACATTGTTTGCCTCCCCACCATTAGCAGTGGGTCTACAATGGGCAAAGGAACGTGAGATGAGGGGGTTTCCGACAACCCCTGCTTTCTCCACCTCAAGGAAACTTGGCCCCTTGGAAGCACACAAACTAGAGCAGTGGTAATCAAAAGTGGAGCTGCCTATACACAACTGTAATTTGTCAATTCACACAGACACACACACACACACACACATTTTTTTTTAAAGTGGAGTTGCCAATGCTGACAACATCCACACGGCTGGCGGGGATTTTGTCAGAAATGCAAATTCTCGGGCTAAACCTCCACTTACAGAACCAGAATCTGAAGGTGGGGCCCAGCATGCTTTCTTGAACCAGCCCCCCAGGTGATTCTTGGACAAGCTAAAGTCTGAGGGGCTGCAGCATCTCAGGTAGGGACGAGGCCACAGGAAGCGGAAGTGCGCTCCCAACCCCTCTACCTGGGTACCGTGCGGCGGCGTATTCGCTGTTACTAACCATAATGAAGGTCTTGGTGAGGAGCTAGTAATGTATAAAGCCCGTAACTTTCTCAACTACGTCGTCCCCCCCTGGCGAGGGGGTGAATAACCGCCTTAAGCGAACAAGGCATGATCTCCAGTTTTCCTTAGGGTGGAAAATCTGACGCAGGCGCAGTGACTATCAGGCCCGGGCTTGCCCGTCGCCAACCGCGAGCATGCGCACTAGAGGCTGCTCGCCGGCCCGCTTCCCTCAGCCCTCGGCTCCTTCCAGGCTTCCGCCACCTCGCCCCGCCCCGCGCATGCGCAGGGGCATTTTTCCCGTGGTGCTCTGGGGCGCGGGAGATTTGTAGGTAATGGCGGGCACTTGGTCCCTGGATTGTGGCGGAGGATCCTCCATCAGCTGTACCTGTGGCGATAAGGGCAAGTGGAGTGACTCCTCGCTGTTGAGCAAGCGGCTCTCCGAAGACTCGAACCGCCACCAGCTGCTGCAGAAGTGGGCAAGCATGTTGAGCTCCACAAACGGGGACGCGTCTGTGGGCAACACAGGGAAGGCGCGGCTCGAGGAGGCGACGGTGGCAGAGGAGATGCCGCTGGTGTTTCTGTGCTCTGGCTGCCGGCGGCCTCTGGGCGACTCGTTGAGCTGGGTGACCAGCGAGAGGGACACCAACTTCATCCTGCTGCGCAGTCAGTTTGGGCCGGGCCGGGGTAGGGTGGGGGCGGAGGTTGGGGCCGCCTTCTCCCCAGGTGTGCCGCACCTGGGCGGCCCTGGAGGGGGAGGGCTCCTTGGCGCTGCCCAGGAACTTTAAAAGCAGAAAAATCTTGAGAGTGTTAGCTTTCTCGGCAAACGGGGAGGAGAAGGATCACCTCTGCACTTGAGCTCACGAGTGACTTGTCTTTTTCTGGGGTTCCCCATCCCATAAGAGGAGCGGTTGAATCAGCCTCAGCGTGAGCATTATTTAGAAACAAATGGCAATACTTTTTTTTTAAAAGACTCTAGAAAAAATGGCCATTAGATTGTAAGCATTTATGATGTAGCCAGTACTATTGATACCTACAGAAATTAGTGAATAATTTTTTCTTTTTTTTTTTGAGACAGAGTCTCAAATGCCTGGGCTAGAGTGCTGTTGTGTCAAGTTAGCTCACAGCAACCTCAAACTCCTGGGCTCAAGCAGTCCTTCTTCCTCAGCCTCCGGAGTAGCTGGGACTACAGGCATGCACCACCGTGCCGGGCTAATTTTTTCTATATGTTTTTAGTTGGCCAGCTAATTTCTTTCTGTTTTTTTAGTAGAGATGGGGTCTCACTCTTGCTCAGGCTGGTCTCGAGCTCCTGAGCTCAAACGATCCACCCGCCTTGCCTTCCCAAAGTGCTAGGATTACACGCATGAGCCACCACGCCAAGCAGTGAATAATATTTTTAATAGTTTATTTGAGAAATTAAACTTTCCATCTGCCTACTTTCTGCAGGGCGTTGTCAAGATTGATATCTCGGATCTTACTGGTTCTGTCATCGGATACCTTTATAGTTTCAAGTGTTACAAACATGGAGTTGCTAGTAACTTGCAATAAAAGCACCAACAACCCCATCAAATTTGGAGAGGCAGGACAACATACTAAAAGAGTTTTAACAAGGCCAGAGTTCTAGCTTTTAATCCTGGTTCTACCAGTTACCTCTATGTTTTCCCACCATTCCCTCATTTTATTGTTTTCACAGTATTTAGCAGTAAAGTGGTTCACATACGTTTTTCTGAATTGGTGTAATATTAGGCTGTTGTTTTTGGATTGTGTTTTTCAAGGTGATGTTTTTGCTGTTTGGATTCTGTAAATATTTTGGTGGCAGAAATTCACCACCAGCTTATTTGTGGAGTGTTTTCCTTTCTGGATGTAATATTGGGAATAAAGGGGGCATACCGGTGTCCACTAGTGGACTGGAATTTTCTGGGACTTGCTGTCTTCCATAAGGGTACATCAGTTTATGAACTATTATTGCTGAATCCCTTTACAGTAGTTAAACATAAGCTAATAACATACATTTCCTGTAGTGATTCCTTGAGAGTAACCCTTTGCGCCCATTAAAATCAAAGCCTAAAAGTAAAAAGGATTTATCCCTTGACCCACACACTACCATAGTCCCAGAATTACACATGCCTTGTTCTCATTTATAGTCACAGATGTGTTCCATGCATGTGTGAACGTATTTAAACATGTAAATTTTTAACAACACACCTGAGATTATTCATACTGTTAAGCAACCTTTTTTTATTCCACATGTACTGAATATTTTTCCATATTAGTGTATGTAGATATACTTCACTTTTTTTGCCAGCTGCTGGGTGTACCCTTGCTGAGATTGCCATTTACTAACTCTGTGTCCTTGGGTAAGCCACATGACCTCTTTGTCCCTCTCTTCCTGTGTAAAATGGGGATAATATTCACATGGAGTAATTGTGGGAATTAAATAAGTTAATGTGTGTCATGTACTCAGAATGCATAGCAAGTGCCACTTAAGTGATTTCTCTAATAGGGGTGCTGGTGATCCACCCAGTCTGTCACTATCAGTGGAGGTCTAGGTTGTTTCTAGCCTTGCCACCATTAGAATAGCATATATATATTTGGGTTGAGATTTTTTATTTTTTTTTTCATAGATCGTCCTCTAGAGCATGGGTTGAGATTTTTGATACCATAAAAGTTCTTTGAGTGAGTGAGTTTACCTTGCTTATAGCTTTTTAAGAAATAACATATTTGGTATTACGTCTTTCACTTATCTGTAGTCTGTTTTTATAGCTTTTCTATCTTTTGCCATGTGGCCTCTTTTCTTTGTTTTGCTTTACATGTAGAAATATTATTATTTCTGTTATTTAGTTTTTTTATATCAGTAGTTTTTAAATTTTAAAAACTATAAATATCTTGATTTGTTAGCTTTGGATAATCTGATTAAATGATTTAACACCTCCTCCAACCAAGACAAAGAAATGAGCTCTTGGAACCTTTTTCATTCCCTCCTTACCTAATTGGAGTTAGTTTATTTTTACTTTGTCAAATTTTGTAACATTTACGTTCTGTTCTGTAGCCATAATATGGCCTTAATATAATGTTTATGTGAATTCATTACTTGACTTCAGTACTCTTTTTTTTTTTTTGAGACAGAGTCTCGCTTTGTTGCCCAGGCTAGAGTGAGTGCCGTGGCGTCAGCCTACCTCACAGCAACCTCAAACTCCTGGGCTCAAGCAATCCTGCTGCCTCAGCCTCCGAGTAGCTGGGACTACAGGCATGTGCCACCATGCCCAGCTAATTTTTTCTATCTATATATATTAGTTGACCAATTAATTTCTTTCTATTTATGGTAGAGACAGGGTCTCGCTCTTGCTCAGGCTGGTTTCGAACTCCTGACCTTGAGCAATCCGCCCACCTCGGCCTCCCAGAGTGCTAGGATTACAGGCGTGAGCCACCGCACCTGGCCAGTACTCTTATTAATATAAGAAATATTTCCCATTCCTGAGTTTCTTTGATTAATCATCAATGGTTCCCTCATCCCAAGAAAACAAATTTGAGTGCTTGAAAATGTTTTCTTGTTTTTATACATGAATGCCTGCTTGGTAGCCTGTGCAATTCTTGGGAGTGCTGTGACATCAGCCTAGCTCACAGCAACCTCAAACTCCTGGGCTAAAGTGATCTTCCGAGCGGCTGAGACTACAGGCATGAACGACTACGCCCAGCTAATTTCTTTCTATTTTTAGTAGAGACGGGGTCTCGCTCTTGCTCAGGCTGGTCTCAAACTCCTGACCTCAAGCAATCCTCCCACCTCAGCCTCCCAGAATGCTAGGATTACAGGCAGGAGCCACTGCACCCAGCCTTGATCCCAATTACACTGACAGAAACTATTTGCAGTTTGTGAATTGAGGTTCTAATGGTTCCACATTTCACTATCAATTGAATTTTCTCCTCTAATTTTATTTATTTTTTTATGTTATTGGTTTTCAGGGAAAGGAAGGAAGTAACTCTTACTTTGCCATCTTTTCCCAGAAGACTCCAGGACGTTTAATTTGGACCTGTGTGTGTATGTGTGTGAGACTTTGGGCTCTTATTTTCTCTGGTCCTCTGAATTCTGAAATAAAAGTTGGACAAGAAATTCCCTAGATATCTGCATGTGTATTTACAAACCACATTAATACATTAGTTCTTTCTTTCTAGGTGTTTCTTGTAATGTTTCTGTGGATAAGGAACAGAAGCTATCCACACGTGAAAAGGAAAACGGTTGGTGAGTAAGGCTTTATCTATGTGAGTATGTACGTTAGAGAACATGTTTATTTTTCAAGTAAAAATCCTTGAAAGAATACTACCAGTAAGGTTACTTGGGATATTGCTGTTTTCATGGTAATCAGTATAAAATCAGTCATTCACATGTATCATTTCTTGAGCAGTTGTGGTTACCCTTAGATTTTGAGATGTTAGTGTTTCTAGATTTCTTTCTTTTTTTTCTTTTTTTTTTTTTTTTTGAGACAGAGTCTCACTTCATTGCCCAGGCTAGAGTGAGTGCTGTGGCGTCAGCCTAGCTCACAGCAACCTCAAACTCCTGGGCTCAAGCAATCCTTCTGCCTCAGCCTCCTGAGTAGCTGGGACTATAGGCATGCGCCACCATGCCGGGCCAATATTTTCTATATATTTTTAGTTGGCCAATTAATTTCTCTCTATTTATAGTAGAGACGGGGTCTCACTCTTGCTTAGGCTGGTTTCAAACTCCTGGCCTCTCACCAAATCCGCCCACCTCGGCCTCTCAGAGTGCTAAGATTACAGGCATGAGCCATCACGCCCAGCATCTAGATTTCTAAGAGCATATTCTGACTTTCTCTTTTTGGGTCTTTAGGCTTGGTGCTGAAGAAAATCAAAAATAAAAGTAGAAAAAAGAAAAAGAAAATATCTGTATCATAAAATCTCAAAGTCAAATGATACCTTATACCAGTGCTACCCACTTTTTTCATGTCATGGCGCACATAAAATGCTCAAATCACACACCCACCTACCCACCCACCCACCCACCCACCCCTATTGGGATAAACAGACAAGGTTTCTTGTGGTCAGAAGCAAACAACACAGGAGCTCCAGCAGTCCCAGGCCCTGCAAATCTTTTAATAGTGAGAGATTAGACATCAGGCTGAGAACCAGCCAGGCAATAAGATTTCAGATAGAACTAATAACACTTGTTTCATTGTAGTTATCTTCTTTAGATTGTCTTTAACACTTACTTCATAGTCTTTAACACTTATCTCATAGTTGCAAATCGTAATGCCAGATTGAGGGGTTTATATTCTAGAAAAACAACACCACCTTAGTATCCTCTCTTCTTATTGCTTTTGTTATGTTTCTTGTATTTATGCTTAAGGCATTGTGGCCTGGAGATGACTGTCCTTACATTTGCATTGCAAATATCTTACTATCGTTTTTTTTCCTATCTTGTATATATAACTTAATATGGCCAGAATAACATTAGAAACTTAAGTGTTTGTAGATTTTAACAATGGGATTTTTGTTATAATGAGTTGCTACTTTCTTTCCTAAAGTGATGACATTTCTTTATTGCAGCATTCTTCAGACTTTGTACTGCACAGGGTGCTCACTCAATCTTGGCTACATATATAGATGCACTCCCAAGCATCTTGATTATAAGAGGGACTTGTTTTGCCTCAGTGTTAAAGCCGTTGAAAGGTAAGTTTGAGATACAAATGATTACCTAATGGCTGCTGTCTCAGAAGTTAAGTTAGCAAAGAAATTGGCATGAAAATATCAGAACTAAAATCAACACTGGTTAAAATATATTTTCAAGTAATAATTTCTGACAATAAAGTCAGTGATTTTTTTGTTTTGATATGATTTATTTGTTATTAGGAAAGTTAGACACTCTAAATTATAGCAGAAAACACTGAAATTTTGTTTTGGAGTGAAAATGTTTAGTTTTTTTTAAAAATTAAATGTAGTTTAATAGGATTGTTTTAAAGCTATGGTATGGATCAATATATATAGTCCAACTTTCTTCCCCCAGGTTTTTTTTTTCCTATTTTTTGTAAAGGCAGGGTCTTACTCTTGCTCAGACTGGTCTCAGAACTCGTGGCCTCAGGCAATCCTCCCGCTCTGCCTCCCAAAGTGCTAGGATTACAGGTGTGAGCCTATAATCCAAACCTGGCCTCTTCCCCAAGTTTTTAGCCTCCTAGAATATCATGAAATAGAAATTTCAAAATGGTTAGGAAAGAAGTCAACTTTGGTTTTCTGGAAAAGCAGAAATACAAAGCTCAGCTATTTCCTATTGTAAAGAATTGTCTGCTTTTTTTGAGAAACGCAAGGAAAATCCTTCAATTTTGAAGATTTCTAAAAAGTGTTAGAAAACTGTGAATTAGGGGCTGAAGACAGACATCAGTCATAGAATTTCAGACATCTTTTTTTTGAGAGAGAGAGTTTTGCTCTGTTGCCCAGGCTGCAGGACAGTGGCTTGATCACCACTCACTACAGTCTCAAACTCATAAGCTCAAGCAATCTTCTTGCCTCAGCCTTCCAAGTAGCTAGGATTACAGGCATGCACCACCACTCCTGGCTAATTTTTAAAAATTTTTTTGTAGAGATAGAGTCTCTCTACGTTGCCCAGGCTGGTCTCAAACTCCTAGGCTTCCTGTGTTGGCCTCCCAAAGTGCTGGGATTACAGGCATGAACCACTGCTCCTGGCCACAGATATCTTAATGGTCTTCCAATTCGTTGACCTTTAAAGAAAGTACAAAAATAAATCAGTTGACCCCAGTATATTTTCACTTATCCTGGAAAAGATATAACCCTCAGTACTTTAAGGTCACCTAAGAAATCTTACATATAAGAAAAGAGGAACAATTTAAGAAGGAAAGAAAGTGCCTAGACTTTATTATTCAAGCTATTTTATCACTCCTGTTAAATATCTTAGATTTTTTCCTCTTCAAAAAAATTTAAAACAGTATTCTTTTTACTGTTCTAATTATTCCTTGATTCAATTATTCCTTCGTAATTGTAGTTTTGCCACCTATTTGGAAACTAGACAAGTTTAGATCAATTTTTTTTTTTGAGACAGAGACTTGCTCCATCACTTGGGTAGTGTGCAGTAGAATTATCATAGCTCACTGCAACTTCAAACTCCTGGGCCCAAGCCAACCTCTTGCCTCAGCCTCCCATTAGCTGGGACTACAGGTGTGAGCCCTCACATCCAGCTAACTTTTTCTATTTTTTGTGGAGACCCAGTCTGTCACTCAGACTAGTCTCAAATGTCTTACCTCAAGCAATCCTCCCACCTTGGCCTTCCAAAAGTGCTAGGATTATAGGCATGAGCCACTACTACCCAGCCTAGATAAAAATTCTATAATCTGCAAACTTTATGTAGCCCTTACACAAAAGAATAATGTAACAAATACTGTTCCCCCTTATGAAGTGTAGGTCTGTCTGGAGAGAGATTCTATTTTGGTCTTAATATATGAATGAAGACTGAGGCCCAAACAAATCCTCTGTTAATCTCTGTGAGAATTTTACCAAGGTTTGTGGAAATTAAGTAAGGGAGAATACGACTATAAACAACATGAAATCTTAATACAGTAGAGTTGGTACACAACTTTTAAAAATGATATTATTTGTATACAAGAAAACTCATGGAAGATTTTTGCCCAAGGATCATAGTATTGAAGCTATTTTTCCTGAACAGTTGAATTTAGGCTTGGGGCAGGATTTTAATGCCAAGAAACCTGGTTTTGTTTTAGAAGTATATGCCCTCTATAATATTTATTTACAGTTTTATAAATTAGTCAGTGCCATTTAATTTTTCTACCTTATCTCTCTTTCTCTTTCTCTTTCTAAATAGGACATTAATTGCCTTCTGCAATTTTGCCTACTGTGCTGTTTTTTAAGAATATAACCCATAGGGTTTCCAAGAGAAGACTGTTCTTATTTGACAAAAGAAGTGATGTATTGAAGTTGCTGCATGTGACGAAAAACTTCTAAAGAAATGCAAATGAACCAGTTTTCTTTTGAGAAACACTGGCATTTTCTTCCTTGCTGTTTAGATTTATTTAGTTACCGGTACTGGGCCTGTTTTCATCCTGTTGCCAAGTTAATTTTTCTGCTATTCAGTAGTTTTCTAAATTATAGCATCTCATAAACTCTAAAGAATCAAGTAAGCATAACTTGGAGGATAACTGTTGAAGTTGCCCAAATTTAGGTAATCAAGAGTTGACTTCATAAATTACTTATTTCTGTTTTAACAACAGAAATTTATTGTCTCACAGTTTTCGAGGCTAGAAGTCTAAGATCAAGGTGTAGGCAGGGCTGGTTTCTCCTGAGGCCTCTCACCTTGGCTTGCACATGGTTGTTTTCTCCCTGTGTCTTCACATGGTCTTTCCTCTGTCCAAATTACTATTAAAAGTCAAATTTGAAAACACACATTTCCAAAAAGTTATATAAAGCAAGAAAGCAATGACTTTTGCAAGATCTTTAAACTTGCCCTTAGAATTTTGAACTGTGAATATATTTTGCCACCCAGCTTACTAAAGAGCAAGTTTATTCCAATAATGAAGTGCTTAAAGATTAATATGTAGAAATATCTGGTCAAAGCTGTTAAGGAGAAAGACATGACTTCATATAGTCCAGCTTCCTAGGTAGGTTGCTATTAACAGGAATAGGGATTTTACTTGTTTACTTGTTACTAACATACAGTGTAATATACACAGAGTTTTAGTATTATTAACTGACATGAATTTGGCATTTGTTCCTTTTTCATATTTTAACTTTGTTTTTGTTTGAGACGGGGGTCTCACTATGTTGCCCAGGCTGGCCTCAAACTCCTGGGCTCCAGCACTCCTCCCATGCTAGCCTCCCACATAGCTGGGATACCATGCTCGGTTCATATTTTTACTTTGTACTGTACTTTAGTTATATTTTAGGGTCCGCTGAAAAGCAAATTGTGTCAGAAGATAAAGAGCTTTTTAATCTTGAAAGCAGAGTTGAAATAGAAAATTCTTTAAAACAGGTAATTTTATTCTGTACCTTTTATGTCTTTGTATGAACAACTTCTTGCCAGTGAACAAGGGCTCCTCCACAAACAGTAATTCTCATAATGTCCTCTGTTTTGATCTTAGCACTTGCATAATAAGAGAGTGCTTATTTTATTTCAGTTGTTAGTAAAGTTATTTTTGGAAACCAGACTATAAATTAAGCTAAAGCTTTATCAACAAAATGATAAGGAAGACATTTCATGCCAAAATCAAAACAGTATATGTTCTAAAACTGTTAAATTAGAAAAATATCTTTGGCTCAAATCAATATTTTATTTGATTGGATTCTTGTGGTGTAAACAGCTTTATTGTTGAATGTTAGCATCTTTTTGTGGCCAGATAGGCAAGATGGTGATGAGTGTATAAAGGAGCCATAGATTATGGGTTGAGAATTACTGTCAACAGAATTATGTCTTGTTTTATAAAATTTAGTTTATGCCTCTAAATAGTTATATTAGACACTGAATAAATATATGTAATGCATGAAATGTTCAAAATTGCATTAACAATGTATATTTTCATGTTTTACCATGTATAATTTTTAGTCATATTCATGTGTTTATTTTAATTCAACAGATGGAAGATGTCTTGAAAGCATTACAAATGCAGCTGTCTGAGGTTGAAGCAAAATTGCCCTTTGACAGTTACAAAACCTGAACTCTACTCTGTGTCCCTCACTCTGCCCTGTCCCTCTACCCTTATTTGTTAAAAGAGAAGAATTGTAGCATTACTTTTACAGCTGTATTTTATGGTGAAGAGGTGATTATTTCCCAAATTCCAATTTTAAAGCCATTTTATGGTACTTTCTGGAATTAGAATTAGGAGTTTTTATTTTGATAAGAAAGTGGGATAATTTTCTGAACTGTTTTCTCCTCTGTATCAAGTTCATTATTCTTCCTTTCCTATTTTTTAAGAACTTCAATTTACCTTTAATACTTGGGACAATATTTAATATGAATGATAAGAAAATTGTATAGGTTTTTCTACCCACAGTGTGGTTGAATCTTGTCTGAAAATTAAATGCATAAAGCTCTTTGGAGAAACTGATCAGTTGAATTATTTGTCAGAACTATCTGAAAACTTGCACGAGAGCAGAATAGCACATATGTACAGTAGGATTCCACTTTATCCTGTTTATTTACTAGTATATGCTTTAAAAATCTCGAAGAATACTTATCAGAGTAGGAGGGATGGGAATTCCCTCTGACGGTGGGATTCTGGGGGAATTTTTAGTTTTTTAGTTTTATATAATGTAAACTTTTATAGTGTATTATTTTTATAATCAGGAGTACAATAAAGATTAAAGTGCTTTAAAGTTGATTTTTAAACTGAATTGTGGTATTTGATTGAGTTCAGAAGTCCTGATATCATGAAATGTACACATTACTGAACATGTCACTGTGAATGTAAGTAAGATAATGCAAGGAATTAAAGGTAACCCCAAATTTCCCCAGGCCCCTTTCTGTTTCTGGGTACAAATCAAGTCACATGGCAGTACTGTGTGGATAGTGAGTCACTTAGCTTTCACTCAGAATTTCCCTAATTGTTTCTGAGGATAGTAAAGTTATCAGAGCAAAAAATCCTAAGTAAAGTTGACTTGATCATTCATTATTATTGAGTTCTTTTTTAAAATTTATTTTTTTAATTAAAAAAAAATTTTTTAGAACTCCTGGGCTTGAGTGATCCTCCCATCTAGCCTCCTGAGTAGCTGAGACGACAGGTGTACCTGGCAAGTTCTTTTTGATAGATTGTTGACAACTTCTAATTAAAAATGAGTGGACCCTCTAAGTTTCCCCTTTTACAAACTTGCTAAGAGGTAGACTATGGTACTGTGAAAGCAAGTGTCAACACCCACTGGCAACAAGACAATCATCCTGCCTTGATAAATTTGATGCAATCCCAGGTGTCTGTCCTCTTAGGTGCTTTGGTGGCACCTTGTGTAAATATTTATTCAGAACAGATGGGAGAGTATTTTAGCCACAAGATTCAACTAACTCTGGTAACACAGGTTAAAGAATGCTCCAGTCATTTTCAGGCACCATTCCAAAGTTGTAGGCAGTTGGGCCCTTGATTCCTTATGCTTTGTTCATAATAGGCCAAAAGGGACTGTTGGATATTTGCACAATCCACATTTCTTGAAAATTCATTTTACCAATGAAAAGTAATTTCTAATGCCTGTGGTGCTAATTGACTAAGCCTCTGTTGTGAATCAAAAGATAAGTGTAGCTCAGATGCCTTAGTGGCTTCCTCTAGAGTGGCCTTTGATTAGCTTTCTATCCCTGCACTTATATTCCGCTTAGGGTACTTCAGATGAAGTTAGCTAACCACCCCTGGGGTGTAGATGGAAACCAGCATACACATATTTGTATCACATGGTCTCCACTGAAGCAACTAAGAGTCCCAGGAAACACTGTGTCTCATAAGACAGTCCTCACGTTGGCCTCTTCCTGTGGTGCCCTCGAAGCAGAAGCAGTGGCCTTGCCACTGCGGTGGGCAAGGGCTCCCTGAGCCTCCTGGAGTGCCCACTGTGAGGGGTCCAGGTGGGACTGGGTGGTTCTTTGTATCGTATGGTGACACAGGAGAGGGGCCTATCTCCCCCAGCATGCCACCCCACCTGGGCCCACCTGTCTCCTGATGCCTGGTGGCCTGCCTTTTCTTGCTTTGCATGAGGTCTCGTCAGAGTGCTGGGGTTTTTTGTTTTTCTCTTTCAGTTTGTCCTGTATATCTGCTAAAACCTGTTTGAGGCAACGTTCTTACTTTGTCCCTTACAAGTGAGAAGCCTGGTGTGCTGTTGTTTCTGGTGCATGAGGCCTGGCAAAGCACTGCCAGTGAGCAGGAGTGAGGACCCAGAAGCAGGAGACAGACACCAGATCCCAGAGGACCCAACAAAGTCTTCAGACAGGAGCTACCCAGAAATTGTTCAGCCATTCCCTTAAAGGGTGCTCCCCATTTCTTTAGAAGATATGGAAACATATCAGAACCTGTTATATGTCCTTTACAGATTGTTGTAAATAGGTGTGTGTAGAACATCGTGCATAGTTCTCAGCAAATTCTCCACTCATGTTCATCATCTCCAAGCTAAAGAGTCGACTGTAGGTGTCGTTCTCTGTGGCTTTGGTGCCTGGACAGAGTGTGCCCTGCCTGGATGATTCTAGTCTCTAGACTAAACTCTGGGCATTTAAAATGGGCAAGACGAGGAGAGTGACCCCTTGCAGAATCAGGTCTAGATGTGCAAGTAGAACTTGAACAAAGGAGCCACGAACAAAGCTTCCCTCAGCTTGTTTTTGAGGGAAGGTCTCAGGGGTGGCATTCAGGAATCCAGGGGAAAGTCTCAGTTTAGAGGCTTTCCTAGCCATGCCAGCAGGGCTGAATCATTAAATCATTTCAAACCTCTGTTTTCTCATCTGCAAAATGAGGCTATAATAAATAACCTGCCTTCCCTGCATCAAGGATAAACACATTAGATAATGCATTTGACCATACTTTTAAAACGGTAAGACATCACAAAAATAAAGGACAAAGATTTAGCCTTATTTAAATAGAATTGATCTGATTCAATTTTCTAGCCAGTCTACCCATAAGATTCTTTGGACATAAAAGAATCTGAAATGCTGTATTTTTTTTTCTCTAAAATATGCAACATTTATTGAATTTTTTCCCAGTTATAACAAACATTGAAGAAAAATTGAAAAATATAAAAAGGACAAAGAAGAAAATAAAACCTACACATGATCTCACAACTAATAGATGATTACAATTCACATTTTGGATATATCCTTCTAGTCATTTTTATATGCAAAGTTGGGATCATACTGGGCACATTGTTTTCACGGAAAGTATTTCCTAAATCTATTTCTGCACCATTAAATATTCTTTTATAACCTGAGTTTTAATGACTACCTAGGATGACACACCATATTTAATGTGATCATAGCCTGAAATTCACATTGTTAAGTGATTTAACAATTCAGTTTACTCACAAAGAAGGCATGAAAGAAATCTCACACCAGTCACCTCTTTGTCTAGCTCCACTGGTGTGCAGAAACAACTTTTGAGAGCCAGCTGTTAAATTTTCAGGAATTTTGAGCTGGCTCTTGGTAACTTGGCCATGATGAGTTTGTTACACCAGAGAAATCAGCAAGTGCTAAAAAAGTCAGGGCTTTCCCCCGCCCCACTGGTTTCTCAGCACATTACAGTATATTTTGAATCTCTTCTTATACTGTTTGAGCTAAAATTGAAAAGAAAATGATTTCTGTTTTCGATACCCAAAAGACCGTGTCCTGACATCTTTCCATTTAGTAAGTCTAAAATGAAAAACTGTAGATTAGGACTTTAGGGCTCACAGTCACTTTCTTTACCTCTCCTGGACATTAAGCAAAATACCTGAAAGCAAATAAAAGTTTATGTCAACAGTGGATGTTACAGACATCTATTTTGTTTTCCCTGAATAAGATAAATAGCTGGGCAGCTGCTTGCCCGTGAGCAAGCAGGGACAGTGGGCTTGTAATCACTTTTGAACTGAGAGAGGATAATTTATTCTTTGATCTAACCCAGACATATTTTGGGTACTGATCATTAATTTTTTTAGTGAGAGCTGAATTTCATCTGCAGGTGAATTCATTATTTAGGCAGCTCATCACGAGGGTGCTAGTGCAGTCGGGGCCCATCTATATCCTTAGAGTATATCTCTGGGATCGTCACACTTGTCTAAATCCTTGTGGTAAAATGGAAGGCAGAGCGAGAGGTGAGGGTGCTCTGAGAAAGTGAAGTGCAGGGACCCAGAGTTTTATTGGCCCAAACGTGATTTCAAATAGAACTGGCCTCATTTCCCTCAAGCCGGCGCCCATGAACCTCTGCTAATTAGCTTGACAAAATTAAATGAACTCTATAACTTCTTTTCCCTAAACAATTACCACCATGTTTTTTTGATATACTCTACCTATTTTTAAGGCTGAGACGAATAAGGTGACCCCTCAAGGGCTCTTTAACCTTATAGCTCACATAAGGTTGAAAGGAAGCGAGAAATAGTTAAAAGGAGGGGAATGAGCATTGGCGAGCTGACTCTGCAGATGTGAGGAAATGGGATAATTCAGCTCTTCGGAACTCCGTCACCTTCACATCTCTCTCCGTTTGTTGTTACCGGTAGCTGTGGGCTTGTAATTTTGGAGTTTGAGGACAACAGTAATCTTGACAAAGTAGGATGTGTGTTTAATTGCATAACATTTTCCAAACCAAAATGAAGAGTATGTAACCATTTTGAAGAGAAGTCTTATGAAGCCTTCCAAGGATTTTCTCTGAAACAGCTATACTTTGTCAAAGCTGCTTCCTGGGATGGCTTTGCTTTTCTAAGACGGCATTTAACGGTCATTTGGTGTGAACCTAGCACTGTGCTTAGAGCGCCACATGCATGATCCCATTCTCACAAAACCCTCTTACATAGGAATAATTATTCCCATTTTACAGGTGCAGAAACTGAGACTCAGAAAAGTTGAATAAATTGCCTGGAGTCCACTTGGCTGATAAACAGACCTGGTGCTTTCTTTCTATGCATTGCTGCCTCCTTGCTCTGCTCTGAGCTGCAGTTGTGATGATGTCCTCTTGTATTTTAGCAGTAAAGTATGTCAAAGTGTCCATTCATGTAGTATTAGCAGTCTCAGTGTCTGGAAGGGTCTAGAAGTTATGAGCTTCTCCCTTCCTTTTTTCTATAAAATGAAGCTAATTCAGCATGAGTTCCTGCCGCTGCCTCTGTGCCTACCTTGAGATTCTCTGGCCCCAGATCTGCACCGAGGAGCTGTCTGGCCTGTTTTCAAGCTCTTCCCATTGCACCACCTCCTTTGAGCCATTTATTTTCCTTTGTTGTACTTATCACTATAGAGCATTATATTTCACACATGTTTATTATCTGTGCCCCATCAGAGTGCTAGCTCTGCAAGGGCAGGGATTTTATCCATCTGATGGCCCATGCCAAAAGGAATGTAGCCACGTAATACGTGCTTATTTAATATTCAATGGAATGAATGAATGTTGCTGCATCACATTACCTGTTTTCTCACATCTTCAGCCTCCCTCCACTCCCTTGATTCTTTATCTCAACTTGCAAGCTTGCTCAAATCTCTTTTTGGTGACAAAGATCCTTCCGGTGGCCCAGCTGCCTTGATGAACTGCTGTCCTATTTATAACCACGCCAATTCTGCCCACTGATGACTTTATCTGTGGCTTTTCGGTCATCTGCTCCAGGCATTTTACTGAAACTCCTCTCTTGAAGGCCACCAGTGAGTTCCTACAGAGTGTTA